TTCCTTGATCCGTAGGCTAATACACTTGTCACGCAGTGCTTGCAACTTTTCAAAGTCACTTTTTATGTGCAAATGCTACCAATCCCCTACACACAAATAAAATGAGCAGCTGCGGACTAAGCACACTACCAGGTGTGCGCACAGCAGTTGGACAAATAAATTCGCGTACCCGTGTGCGAATAATAAATAGCAATACAAAGTAAGGCGGGAAGTGTGAGCGCCGTGGTATAGCTTTAGCTGCTTTGAAGAGGCAATGTGTGAGCGCGAAGTTATTTATTTGACTGCCGAAAAATGGGAGGAAAATAGCAGCAGTAAAGTGTGCAAAAAGAAAAAAATGCTGAGAACAAAGCAAAATAGTTTTGACAAAGAGAAAACGACAAACAAAACACAAAACCCAACTGCGACATGTGCCTAACTGAGCATGAAGGAGAGCGAGCTAAAAGGTGGCGCAAAATGCCCAGAAATGATTTCAAAGAAATAAAATTCAGACACAAGCATTTCAGCTTGAAAGAAAAGTGGCGCAAAAGGTATTGAGTCACGGAAAAGCAAAAGAAAAAATATTACTCCTACATGCGAACACACATTCAATAGCTTAAATTGACAGGTGTCGCAGCCGCGCTTTTAACAGCGTCAAGTAAAAAGTTTAGTGACACAAGCGACAAGCACGCAAATGGCCTAAAACAACAAACCGAAATCGAGCAATGTTGCATGCAACAAAAAATAAATAACAAAAAGAAAAAAAGCAAAAGAAGAGCGAAATAAAAAAGCAATTCATCGCAAATAATAAGCAGCTTCTTTGGAAAAATGCCAGCTAACGCTCTGAATTCGAGCAGTACATAGGCTGATTTTTTTAGTTGTTGTTTTTCATCTGCCTGGAAGGTAAATAAATTTATGCACAAATGAAATATTGCAAACAAACTAATAAAAGTGTCAATGTAAAAATTTAATATTGTTATGTTTTGTATGTGAATATGTTTTTATTCATAACTCTGTCAGAAGTGAGCGTAAGTAAAGTACTTAATAATTTATGGGCACACAAGTGAATGAGTGAATAAAGTATTCATAAAGTGAGCATGTGTATTTGGCTGCCAGTTGTAATGTTATCAAAAAGGCATTCAAAGTAAATTCGCATATCACTTGTACTGATTCTCCACTAGGCATTCGAATGGCAGAAAATGTATGTTAAAAAAAAAAACAACATGCGAAAACAGGCATAACGATTATTTTTGTTAACGCATTGGCACGGGTATTTTTTAATGAACTTGGTCATTACAAATTCTGCATTTAATACCTAGTGGAAATTAGCCATTACCCGGGGACGGATGTTATGGAAATTGCTTTTTTTCTGCTAAAGAGATAGAGTATACTCGATTAAGAATGTCCACGATTTAGCTTTCCCAGATTCCATTATATATACACGTTTGATTCTGCCTTTTTATGCCTTTTTTAAGATATTTGTCTTTTCTACCTTTAGAAAGTGATTATAGGAAAAATCCCTTATTCCCGATAATATTAAAGTTTCAAACGTTCCATATTTAAATTGGGTGTCACTTGTATCAACGCACGTTGAGCGCACGTTTAGTACAATCAAGGCTTTTCTTCGCGAGAATCGATTGAAAATGTTGCCAGAAAACTTAAAAATGCGTTTTGTGGTTCAATGCATGATAAAAATATAGTAAGGTAGAACCGCTGAGAGTCACTTTTAAAATTCTTGACGTTTCCAAACAATTTAATTTTTAAATTTACTCACAAACTCCTACACAAATTTTCATTTTCAATCTCAAGCAACAACAATTTCGAACAATTTCAATTTTTTATTTTCACTTTTATATGATTTTAAAATGTTGGCAAACTTCAAAAAAAAATCATGGCCGACAAATTGAGAGAACGGTTCTACCTTGCTATGTTTTTATCATGGTTCAATGTTTCTGCAACTATAGAGATTGAAGTTTTGTAAGTTAAAACTCGAAAGGAGAAAATAGTCAAAGTTTTAAAACAAAAATTTTTCATATAATGAAACTAGTTCATATTTTATGATTATTTTTCGGTTTTTGTCTTTCTTAGGCACTCCGCACATTACGCGCCTAATCTTAGTAGAGTAATCGTTTCGACATGCCGAAACGAATGCATGACGACTCCACTTCTGCATAAGCCCTTGAGGCACACATATACCACACATTATATATTTTCTGGCCGTTCTTTCTCAATGATACACTTCCGCGAATATTTCTGCAGAAAAATATTCCATAAAGGCTTATAGTTTAGTAAAATTAGCACGAATTTTAGCACAAAATCATTAATTCTCAATTATTTCCTATTGAAGTGACAAATAATTTTTATTTCCAACACAAAAAAGTAAACAAATGACGATTTCAAAACAGCAAGCGCCTTAGAATGCTGGGCGCTTCGATTCATGAAGCTTTTATGATTAGGCGAAGACATGATTATGAATTGTAATGTACAGATCATCATTCAAATACATGTGTTCGTAATAAAAGCTTCATACTTTAGTATGCCGAAACGATTACACTGCTATGATTAGGCGCTTAATGTGCGGATTGCCTTAGTGTCTTCTTTTGCCTTTTTTGTGATTTTTAGTGCCTATTCGTGCCTATTTCGCGATTTTATTTTGCCTTTTCCAGCCTATTTCATTATTTTATTTTGCCTTTTTTATAGGTTTTTAGGTCCTAAAAATCCGTTCCAGGGCTTGAACCCAGGCCCTTCGGAGTGGAAGCGCGCACTACTTACCCCTACACCACAGCCTCTAAGAGTCGAGTGATATTTTTGATAATCATTACTGGCATTTTCTTATTAAGATAAAGGAAGGAATAATCAATACATTAATCTTATGAGCGACTTGTTAACCTAAATAAAATTTATAAGTTTTAATAATTCCACCTTCATACTAGAGAATAAGCATGATCCCAGTTGTCGGAATCGTCTCTGTACTTGCAGCAGTTTTTGAAGAAAAACCTCGGTGGTATTTGCCATCGTTAGAGCATTGTTGAAATTGCGCAGTGCGATGTGAAGACGCCGATAAGAACTCCTAACCTCCACTATAGTGACTTTCAGACATCACAATCATGCCAGCTCCCCTAACTTCACAATCATATTCGTTTAGTGTCCCCGGTTTTATTACCTTGATTGCCTGTTCATTGAAAACCACATCCCTAACGAAGAAGGTAGTGACTTTTTCCGGCTGAAATTGTGGTGTTAAACAGCATAATTCTCAGCAGTCGTCTGGGGGAAGGTAATACTGACTGAGCAGCAGGTCCTCCGAGTAGAGACTGTCGCCGGTCACTAATACCATTTTTGCACCATAACCGTAAATGATTATACCATAAACTACTTTATGTAGGCTTTTCTCTCAATTTTCTATAGTACCAAGCCGGCGTGATTTTTTCGGTTTTAGTTCAAAGTCTAAGTTGGCTGGCTTCCCGAGATCTGAGATCGCCCTTTATAGCCGCAACGTGAAAGCAAGTATGCAGCTTTTGCAAGCTAAGGGTCTTTTGAAGCCCTTCCTGAGGAGTTTTACACACCGCACACTCAATATGCTGAGACTTCAATTAAATATTCATAACTCGAAATTGTTTCCTTGTTACTTCCTTTATGTGTAGCTTCCTACTAGACTAGAGATCGATGGGTTGCAATCGGTCTATGCCAGCCCCACCTGGCATAGGTATCGAGCCCTAACCGTTAAATAGATGTAAGCTACATTTTTTTTTAATTTTCTTTTTGAAGCAGAAATGTTCCTAGCGCAACTGGATGCATTTCTGTACCAAAAAGAAAATTAAACAAAAAATTTCGCTAACGTCTTTTTGACGGTTAGGGCTCGACATGTGTACCGTAATTCCCGATTGGTTCCAAAGGCCCTTTTATAGGTTTAGTAAGCCTGATACCCGCCTTTTTGACAATCGTTCTCCATTTAAGTTACTCGCTTATTGCTGACTCGAATTTTACCAAATCTTCTGTACAGTCAACAAAGTAATTCCTCCATAGTTTCATTTTTTGTTACATTGGAATATTCCATTTCTATTATTTTATTTCCATTCATTCGTCTAGTTTCGTGCCTTTAGTCCTTTACTAATTTTGTGATTTGAAATAACGAGCAACGCAACCACCACAATTTGAACTCATTTGCTATGCGAACTGTTCCAAGGAGCATTAGGATTGTTGTCCAGCATATTTTCGCAAGCCAATTTAGTGTGAGTTCGGTTTGTTAGGTCGAAGAGAAACTTAACTTTAACAGCTAATAGCAAAAAAACAAACACACATAAATACATACGCATATGCTAGATACTTACCAAATGGGAGGAGTGAGTATGTTGTAGCTATTGGGGCCACTTTACATAATTTAGTATTTATGAAACTAAAAATGCATTAAAGTTGTAAATATTTACAAACATATATTTTCAGCAGTCAACAAAGTATAAATGTAAATACGTATGTCACAACCTGCTATGCCACAGCTGCTATTGAGGTTATGTTGTATGCCTCAGGGATATAAACTCAATGCAATATTATGAAAGGCATTGAAGTGTAAGTGACCAGCCGGGCGTATGAGTAACATGAAGAAGCACCACTTTAGCGTTGCGTAGCAAGCTCAGGAGCGTAGAATATTTTACCTTTTTGCTTTTAATATTTTTTAGATGCAAAAAATGATAAGTGATGCTTGAAAAGAGGTTTTTAAAGAATAAATTACATATATTTTTCATAATGTTGGAAGGGCGTTTGTATGAATAGGAAAATAGCTGCTAAGTATTAGAAACTCGCCACATAGAAGCACTTAAATACTTAATAAAGTCCATTTTAGGTAGCAACACGTGTGTAAAATTGGTGCTGCATATAAGGATGCTACATATTTACATAAGTAGCACTTAAAAATATTTAATAGCTCGCACATTTCACTTCCACTTATTTATTTATTTATTTATGAGCATACATATTAGATTATCATAATTTACTCATTTCTCCCCTTTTTCTTTTCTTTCTTCCTTTAGTATGGTGAACTTTCGCTCACCACCAATCCCGCCTACAGCCTCTACAATACACCACAACGCGCGCCTGCTGCCCAACGCCCAGTCTATACCGCGCCACCACCACTACTCTCCACACGCACTCCACCCAACATTTACACGCGCATACCCGGTCGCTCTTACCTGCCCGCCTATGAGACGCGCACCTCACCCACCTCCCCCTATGGGTCGACAACCACTTGCACCATGCCACTACTGGGCGGTCAATCGAACGGCTCCTTGCAGACGAATAGCAGCACACAGGGCAGCTGCTCGGGTGGTGTAGGCGCCGCCGGTGTTTGCGGCAGTCTTAATAGCAACGCTAGCAGCGGCATGCATTGTAATACACTACCCCATCCAGGCGCCTTGCAGCATCACGCCTCGATGGCAGCAGCAGTCGCAGCGATGGCTTCAATGGCAACAAATGGTATACCAACCGCGCTCACCTCATCGATGACATCGGGGAATATAAGTCTCGCCGCTACACAAACCCTGCTCACCTCACCGCGCACGCACAATGCAGCCACTGGTGGCGGCATGGGTGCGCTATCGCTAAGTGGCATGAATATGGGCACGGGTGCGGTTGCCGGTGCCGGTGCGGGTGCCGGTTCGGGTGTTGCCATGGATACGACAGCAATGTCGTCCGCTACAACAACGTCAGCCGGCACACCGCTGCTCAACTCATCATCAGCGCTGCTGGGTAGCGGCAACTATGAGACAGTGGGCTCATGAGAATTACCGAAAGAGGACATTAAGTGTCAGTTTGTATGCATCGGTGGGAGCAGTACGTGTACGAGCAACACGGAGCGCACCACAATCGTCTAGTGTGACAATCGCTTGGAAGGGGAGCCGGCAGGAGGAGAAGCTGATGCCAAAATTGGCGCATTGTGTAAAAACTTGTAATTTAAATATTTAGTAAGTGAGTATGTTTATTTTAAGCATTTCGTTTAAAATTTTTTCGCTAAAAAGTTACAAATCAATGCTGAGTTGCGGAATTGAAAATTTCGTTGTATTCGCTTAACGCTACCTAAGGTAAAAGCCGGCAATTTTAATTCAGGCATTTTCAAAAGAAAATATAACAATTTCTAATTTTTACGAATATTTTAAATTAAGAAAAAATAAATGTCTATTTTTGAAATATTTTTTTTTCTACATATACATATAAATTTTCGGCATAGTGGCATGAGTATGTATTGCGATTATATTTTCTGAAAATAGCCTGGGAAGATTTCTAATTTTTAAGTCAAGGTGAACAAAAAACAACAAGACTTCCAAACGAAATAAATCGTGAAGCGCTGGTAGAACTGGCAGCCATGTTGTATGTATGTATTGTAATCCATGTAGGGTAATTCACTTAGAATTAGTTAGTATACGAAATTAGGCTTAAAAAATGAAAAAGTAAAAAATAAGGCATAAAATGAAGTACCTACGCGCAAAACTTAATTAGTTTGTATCATAAGTATATACAAATATGTTACTAAATACAGGGTGAGTCCTTGCAATAGGCACACGACAATTTAACCGGTTTCGGTTAGTTTTCCTTTGCTAATTCAGTGTTTATTATTTTTCTAAGTTCAAATTTTTAAATTTGTACAAAAATTAAGAAAATTCGACGAAGTTGCATCAAAATTTCAAACTTTTTTTATCACAGTGCACATAAAACAAAAATCAATCTGGAAACTTGCCTTTTACATACAAAAATATAATGGGCTACGTAACTAGAAACTAGAATTAAAAAAATCTGAATAAAAAGTTTGAAATTTTGATGAACATATGTTGAGATTCGTCGAATTTCATTAAAAAAATAAAATAAAGAAAAGAAAAGAGGGAAAAACTTGTTAAAATGTCGCGTACCTATTTCTTTTCCCGCCACCGTATATAGCACCGAAAACTTAGACAAAACGTGTGAATCCACACCTCACAGTGATTAATATTGCGCAACATGATCTTTGTGTGCTGTATGTACATATATAAGTATTTCCTCAAAAGCACATGCTTCCAAAAACAGCAAAAAAAAAGTTTTCAACCTCTGATCGATTTTTGAATCTCAAGTGTCGTTCTCTAGTGAATGCCCAACCTTAAAAAAATTTAGAACTCTTACCCTATCAGATTGAAGCGTCGTTTGAGAACTGGCTTTCTTCTAAAATTGCTAAATTATTTTCCAGAACAAAGAACTGTAGCTCATGGAAAGTCTATTAAGTCAGTTGGTTTCATTGCTTTTTAAGATACAAAGTAGCCAGACCTCACTCAGCACTCACGATAGAAATTATGGTCGCTTTCTTTGCCAAACATTCGATGTAACAACTTTCGCGTTCGGTAGGAAATGGCAAATCTCCGAGTGTATTTCTCTCATGGGTAAGCTGCTCATAAAAGCCATCTGTTGTTCGGAGGTGGCCTAAAACTGGAAGTCCAACACGTTTGTGTGACAGCATCAAGGCGCAAAAGCTCAGCCAAAAACTTAGCAAATTTTTAATTTCTGGACTAGTTTAGATTTGGCAACTAGAGGTAGTACTTAATTGCACAACTCTACTTACGGCATTCAGGGCCTCAGCCACTTGAGGTTTCAAATGGTAGGAAAAATTTCCTATTAAAGACATCAACTGGTTTGAGCTGAAGCTCGACCAATAGCTAGCTATAGATATTAGTACTTGCACCAAATTTGTAATTTTTTATATCGACCAGTGGCACATTCAGGCGGTTGAGATCAAACCTAAGCAGCTAGGGAATATTATTCACATTTCGAAACCTTCAACACCCTGACTTCGAGCGGTAATTATAAGCTACCGAGCGCCTAAGAGGCATGAAAACGGTTAGTCATGAAAATATCATATAACACACTGGTTTCTTAAACATTCAAGCGAATTGCGCTGTAAGAAAATGGGAAGGACCAGCAGCTCTATTTCCACCTGCTGAGGTTGTATGTTGCAGCCTTCCGCAATAATAAGCAGCATTCGGTTGTACATATGTATATGTATGCATACAGATATGTAAATATTTCAATAACTAGCTGTAAATTTATGACCGCGCTTAGACGCACTCATACATACCAAACTTTAGTTAGCCACAACAAAATAATGAACAAAATTACAATAGAACGGGGAAAGACTTACTTGCGCGAATACTTTGTACTAAATCAATACAAATGTACATTCAAACTAAGTAATATATGAAAATCAATTAACACAAACTAATTAACTACATGTGTATATTTACAGCAACAACAAAAAATCATTGTAAAATCAATTGTACTGCATTCTAAAATTAAAAACTAAAAAAAACAGAAGATATTAAATTTCCGAAAAATAGTGTAAACACATATTTAGGGGATACACTAAATGACTTAAGCATCGTAATGTTTTAAAGTCGTAAAATGTTTCAATGTGAAGAACGGTCGAAATGATAATACGAATTTCGCGGGGCATAATAAGAGCTAATGATATATTTTCTATACGTTTAAAAACATTTTTACTTTAACACTTTACGACTTTAAGACTTTACGACTTTAAAATGTCTTGTGGAACCCCTAATTGAAACTAATCTGCATGTAAAAAACGCCTAGTGTTAAAACACTACAGTAGCTAAATTGAAATTTCTTTAAAATATAATTTGTTTAACTATTTTTTGTAGCAGAAATTTATGGAGTAACGAAATTAAAACAATGAAAAATTTAATGTACATAAAAAGGCAATTTGAAATATATGTGCAAAACAAAACCAAGCATAAAAACTATATTTAACTAAAAAGCAGTAACTGCAAAATGTAAGTAAATCAAATACTCCTTTCTCCCGCCCACAAAAATTGAAACTCAATGAATTTTTCTACCTACAAAACAAATACAAAAAAATAAAAAATCTATAAATGGACGAAAATCGCATTTAAAAATTGTTGACTTGTTATGCAAATTCTATATTTATTGCAAATCACAGTTTACCACATTGTATTGTTTGTGTTTGGATGAAAATAAGTGCTTTTTCTTAAAAGGATTCATATGTATGTCTTAGTAAAAATAACAAAAATTGAAAAATTAAATATTTTAAAGCAAAAGCAAGCAAAAATTGTTTGCACAGTTGCTTGCACATATATATGTACATACATGTGCATGCAAAGTACCTAAGTGAAAAATTTTAATTCCCCGTCAACCGAAAACGCAACAAGTTTTATTCAGTTTAGGCTTTATTAGTGGCTTAAAAATTGTTATAATTTTTTTTTAAGTTAAACTCGTACCTTACTAAAATAAAGTAAAAGTATTGTATTAAAAAGCGTATTGAGCTTGTATGAGTAATTTAAGTAAAGTGCACAGTTTTTTTTTTGTTTTCGAAATATGTGCGCAATTTCATGCGTCAAATTATAAATTAAGCATTTTCGAATACGTTTTAAAATTTTTATAAATAATTGTATAAATATTTAAAGCTTCTTGAATTATACGTTGTATTAAATTTTTATATATTTTTATCTTTTTTATTTTGCACTATTAAACACAATTTTAAGCCAACTTACATATATCTATTCATATAGTTCTTGTTTTTAAGCAAAGAAAAGAAGTATTCTTTATTTTTCCTTTCCAACGAATCCAAAAATATTAATAATAAAAATAAATGTTATTTAAAAAAAAGCGTGATGACAAGATTGCGTTAACATGAGAAATTATAAACTTACTTGTTTACTTATAACGAAGCAAATAATGATAAATATTAGCATAAATTAAAAACATGAATGGAGCAAGAAATTATTAGATAAATAAAAGTAAAAAAACAAAAAAATTTACGAAAATATAAGCCAAAATAAAAAAAAATGTGTTTTATTGTTTAATAAATGGACTGGTTGCAGGTTTCTACAAAATCTTTACTAAATATTTTTTTACAAAATCTGCCCGAAAATTGTTGATCTGAAAGAAATTTGTGACTGTAGTAAATCCAACCGTTGACTGAAAGTTGCGCAACAAAATTCAGAAAAATTTGAAAATGAGTCCCTGCTGCTGGCAGTTGGGCGATACTTCGATTGCAAAAAGGTCGTACGACCGGTGTATTTTTGTCTAAAAATCTTCAAGCGCGAATTTCTCATAAAGTTTTAGTACAATTTTTACAAAAAATTCTGGGTCTATAGAGCATGCCTGAAGCTCTTTTCTGAAGACCCAAAAGTGTTTCTACAGCAAACCTTTACATCGATTTTTTTGGGCTGAAAAAAAGACTTGAGGCGCGATTTTTCACATTTTTTTTCAACCAAATCTGTACTAAATATTTTTTGCAAAATTTGCCCGAAAATTGTTGGTCGGGAAGAAATTTCTGACTGTAGTAAATTCAACCGATGGCTGAAAGCCGTGCACAAAAATTCAGAAAAATGTGAAAATGAGTCCTTGCTGCTGGCAGTTGGGCGATACTTCGTTCGCAAAAAGGTCGTACGACCGGTGTATTTTTTTAAAATCTTCAAGAGCGAATTTCTCATAAAGTTTTTGTACAATTTTTACAAAAAAAATCTGGGTCTATAGAGCATGCCTGGAGCTATCTTCTGAAGACCCAAAAGTGTTTCTACAGCAAACCGTTATATCGACTTTTTGGGCTGAAAAAAAGACTTGAGGCGCGATTTTTCACATTTTTTTCAACCAAATCTGTACTAAATATTTTTTACAAACTTTGCCCGAAAATTGTTGGTCGGGAAGAAATTTCTGACTGTAGTAAATCCAACCGATGGCTGAAAGCCGCGCAAAAAAATTCAGAAAAATGTGAAAATGAGTCCTTGCTGCTGGCAGTTGGGCGATACCTCGTTCGCAAAAAGGTCGTACGACCGGTGTATTTTTGTCTAAAAATCTTCAAGCGCGAATTTCTCATAAAGTTTTAGTACAATTTTTACAAAAAATTCTGGGTCTATAGAGCATGCCTGGAGCTATCTTCTGAAGACCCAAAAGTGTTTCTACAGCAAACCTTTACATCGATTTTTTGGGCTGAAGAAAGACTTGAGGCGCGAATTTTCACATTTTTTTCAACCAAATCTGTACTAAATATTTTTTACAAAATGTGCCTGAAATATGTTGTTTTGAAAGAAATTTCTGACTGTAGTAAATCCAACCGATGGTTGAAAGTTGCGCACAAAAATTCAGAAAAATGTGAAAATTGAGTCCTTGCTGCTGGCAGTTGGGCGATACTTCGATTGAAAAAGGTCGTACGTAAGGACGTTCCGATGCCCTCAGAGTATCGATACTTACTTAAATGAGTTTACTCAAATAGCTATTTCGATACTATTTATATGAGTAAACCGAATGTATCGATACCTACTTATATCGACAATTTTTCATTCTTTTATATGCAATAAATCGAAAGTAATTTTCAGTCGTTATTTGTGGCATATCTTTTGCGAGACATGCCGATTC